CAGTGTGCGAGCTGATCAGCCCGCGGAGTAACGGCGCCTCGGAGTCCTGGAGGGGCGCGGTGCTGCGGGATGGGGGGCTGACCCGCAGGGCAGAGTCCCAGAGGGGTGCAGTTGCAGACACCCCAGCTCTGTGCTGCAGGTGGGACTAAGGACTCGAGGTCTGAGCCTCAGGACAGGGTTCTGGGGTGCAGTCCTAGACACCCCAATTCTGTCCTGCAGTCAGGGACTGTAGGGATCTGAACCCCAGGACTGAGTTCTGGGGGTGCAGACTGGAAGCCCAGCTCTGTCCTGCAGTGGGGACTGACCCCAGGGCAGAGCCCCAGAGGTGCGCTCTGGCCTTCTTTTTATGAGCTTTCTGTTCCTTGTCATTTGTGGTTCATTCCTCCAGCCATCCCATCGGTGCAGCTGAATCATTCCTCTTCATTTCTCCTGAACGGACTGGGGGGTCTTGTCTTGGATCAGGGAATCTCTCCTTGCCTGTAGGAGTTTTGTGTGCCTTGTCCTCCCTCCCACCTGTGTTCACAGACCTGCCAAACTTTCTTTACAAGGGTGCGCTCAGGTGGTCCAGTCAGGCTGCAGATTCAGGGTCTCTCTGCTGCGCAGGTGTGCAGCTCCTGTCCTGCAGAGCCAGAGAGACTCCAGCAATGATTGACAGCAGTGACCTTTACTCCTGGGCTCTCTGGCTGCGCAGTGGAGGGCTCTGTATTTATAGGTCATATTTGCTTATCTTTTTCTGGCTCTCAGAGTCGGCATTGTCACGGGGCTTAAAAAACAGGTTTACAGCGTGGCTTTTTGTTTCAGTAAAAACATTTCTAGAGGAGACCGGACAGACACTGTGCAGCAGAAAGATGAGGTTGGCACTGTGGTACAGGAGGATGTCAAAGCTCCTCTTATCTCGCTTCCAGTAAATAAGATAGCGTCAGCTGCTGGCAGAAATCTGCCCGTTCTGCAAACATTATATGTTAACCTAAGCGAAAATCTGCTGGTTTGTTTTTGTCTGTTTTTTTGTTGTTTTTGTTTTGCAAACAAGCAATTCCCAGTACAGCGCGAATATTAAATAATTTAAAGTTCTACTCCGTGTTCGACGTTTGTGGTTGGCAGGTGTGGGTGCTTTCAGGCGATTCGGCGTCTTGATTTCCAAGTCCTGAGTGAAGCAGAGCCTTGGAGCAGTGTGGTGGCACTGTGGCTCTGTGGCTCAGGATCTGCGCCTGTGGCTGGGAGGTTGCTGGTTCAAATCCCGCGGCCGGCAGAGGAATCCTACTCTGTTGGGCCCCTGAGCAAGGCCCTTCACCCCAACTGCTCCAGGGGCGCTGTATAAATGGCTGACCCTGCGCCCTGACCCCCAGCTTCTCTCCCTGTCTGTGTGTCTCATGGAGAGCAAGCTGGGGTCTGTGAGGAGACAAATTCCTAATACGTTGTATAGGGCCAATAAAGTGATCTTATCTTATCTTATGGGGCACGGTGTCTATCCACAGCTCCTCGCCCCTCTCTCTCGCTGAGTGATCGTTCCCCCTTGTTCCCTGTGTTCCAGGTAAGAGCAAGGAGGCCGAGATCAAGAGGATAAACAAGGAGCTGGCCAACATCCGCTCCAAGTTCAAAGGTAAGCGCCGTTCCCGAGGCCGCGCGGCGTGGGGGTCTGGGCGCGGGTATCGAGCCGCCCTCCGGAGGGGATCTGGGGCGCTGGCAACCCGCTGGGGGAGAGCCCCTGCTCACGCGGGGGGCAGGAGAGCCGGAGGAGAGGCCAGGGGTGTTAAGTCAGCACTTCTGACAGGAAATGGTTGCAAGAGGAATACAGCTTGTCAGCAGAAGGCAGCTCTTCCCCTGCGTTCCCAGGAATTTCCTGGAGAGCCCGGCTCCTGCGTTACAGGGTGAGCCGGGGTCACAGGCCTGCTGGAGGGGAGTCAAACCAGTTCAGCCCGCTTTTCCGACACTTCCCAGTTTGTGCTCTGCTTGTTAATATTGTGGGTTTTTTAAAGGGAACCAAAGTCATTTGACGTGTATAAGTTTCCACTAGAGCAAAACAAAGAACCTGTTCGCAGGGCACGTGGCTGAGGAGGAGTATGACCAGCTGGGCCCAGGAGGCCCAGTTCACTGTGCTGTTCCAGCAACTAGACCATCGGCACTGTCAGTAGCCTCCAGAGAGGAGGGGTCCCTCGGAGACCGTTGGGGGGGGGGGGGCGACCCCAGAAAGGGGGGCAGGTCAGCAGCCCTCGGACTGGCCGGTGGATCTGCTCAGGCCACCCTCGCTGCATCTGCTGACCTGCTGGTCTTATAACTGTTAGGACCTTGTCCAGGACGCCGTCGCTAGACAGAGTCTCAGGGCGGTGAGGAAGCTGTGAGGCGGGCCTGGCCCGAGCTACAGGAGACCCCGGCTCCACCCGCCTGCCTGGCCGGTCAGCTCCCTGGGTCGAGGGATGCAGCCTGGTCCAGTTCGAAGTGTTCTTGCTGCTCGCTGTCCCGTGGTGAAGTGGCCAGTGTGCCTGTGCTGAAATGAGAGTCCTGATTAAGGTG